ACTCAAGCTTACCAGGTAGGGTATGCGGTGTTTTCCTGTGTTCCTCTTACATTCCATTTGTCCTGGGGTGTATCAAATTTCCCAAACCCTCTTTCATCATTATGTGCCCCAGAAATTTCAGCTGTCACTTTCCGATGTTAAGTGTCATTTTTACTTTCATTTACTTTAAAACTTCGTCGTTGCTTACATGTTCAAACCAGGGTATTCTCAGCATCCTTCTGTAGAACCAGATTTCTACTGTTTCGTGTCTCTTCTTTATTGGGGAAATGTTATGGGACCTTACCCATAATAACATAATGGACTATTCCATACGTAATAAATACTGCGCCTCAAGAGGAAGCAGGAGTTCAGTCCGAAGTCGGGCGACCGGCTGACTGGCTGATCGGTTGAACTCTCTGCCTTCTGGGGGGGAGGAACCCAAGTCTCTTTCGGGGAGGTAAACCGACCCTGAACCCGTTTATACGGGTTCGAAGGGCATATTTTTGGCCGAGCCCACGGGCTCGGAGATCCCACGTTAAACCGGCCTTGTGCCACATAATAACCTCGTAGATGGGTGACTAAATACTGTTCAGTCTGAAGTCTGGTGTGAGGTCCGTCAGAAGTCTGTCAGTCCGAAACAGATTCGCGTTCAGACAATTACGACAAGACATTGGAATAGTGATACTGGTCGAGACTACATTCTTCTCCCTACTAAACCTGATTGTTCGTACTAACACTTTCTTCTTCTCTGTATATAATCCTGTTTGTAATATATCTATGTTATTCCATATCCGTATTCAAGTTCTTCTTTATTGGTTCTACCTTGGACTACCACCGCGGTACAAGGACTTGGACTATAACAGGAAAATATTGTCCATTATTCACTGCAATATAGAAGGACTGATATTACATTACAGTTCAGTACTTTTTTCTTTGTTTCTAACGGAATTTTCGGAAGTTTCTTAATATTTTGCTTAGCTTTTGGAAGGCATCTTTCACTATCCCAATACATCCTCGGATTTTGGTGTCGAACTTTCCGTTCTCTGTTAAAACATTTCTTAGATATTTAAATTGTTATACTTGTTTGATGTTGGATCCTCCAATTTGTAATTTACATATTGGAGCTGTTCCCTTTTGCTGGCCAGCATGCAATTCGTTTTCTTGTAATAGATATTTAGTCATTTCACTACCTTCTGCAGGAGTTCTTGGAGCTTAATTTCTGTGTCTGCTATCAACACTGTGTCATCTGCACATCTTATGTTGTTAAGATTTTAGTTGCCAATAACGATTCCTGGTATGACTTCTAATTCTCTCAAAATCACCACTCTTTTCAGGTTGAATAAATTATTATCTCCAAAATATTCCACAATCTAAAAAATATTTTCTGGCTTTAAATGACCTGCAAAATCAGGAAAAATCAAATCACTCAATCAATCAATCAATCTGAATGGGATTTGTCTTTTTTGATATCTCGCCGAATCTGTTTTCTGCTAAGCGTTTACACAAGCACATTTGGTGGGGTTACTCCATGGCTTCCCTTCCCTCACTTGTCTTCAACACGCCTTGTCAGTTTTAAATTGTATATAGATTTTAGAAGATGATATAATAGTTTCTATATAACAATAATAATGTTAAGAGAATTACAGACAAATAGAAAACAAACTGACGCGTTTCAATTCTTTAAGATTTCAGGGTCTTTTTTTTTTCACGGTAAGATTCACGTTGTACAAGACACATCGGGGTAGAAGGTTACGTTAAGAGATAATTTTATATATATATATATATATATATATATATATATATATATATATATATATATAGTTGGATTGATCACATCAAACTAAATATGTTAGCTCTATCATCTCAATCCAACTAATTATGTTAGCTTTATCACTGATATTGAGCACTTTCGAACATATAATATATAAATAATATATATAAAAATTGCATATATATATATATATTTATATTTATATACATACACATTTTACATACACACATGCATATCTATCTATATGTATATATATATATATATATATATATATATATATATATATATATTGCGTAAATTTTGACAGCATGTTTTCATTAAGACATGTTTCATTGAATAATTTAGACAAGTTTTGCCTAGTTATTTTCAATAGGATCGTCTCATATTCACAGACAAGCTTCTTAGTATCCTTATTAAAGTAAGAGAGAAAATTACCCTGTTGATACATATTCATTTATTTTGAGTACTTTCGACATTAGCACAATGACAACATGAAATGATCCTATTGAAAATAAGTAGACAAAACTTGTCTAAATTATTCAATGAAACATATCTTAATATATATATGAAATAACAATATATTTTTTATATATCAAGAGAAAGTACTGAGTAAATTTTAAGACAAAATGGAAAAGTTTACTTGTAACGAGTTTTATTCGTTTGATTCGATTGGGTGTGTTGACGTTATGACTACACATGCACATGAACGAGAGATGCTGGTAGTTTCAATATTGCGAAAGAAATATTTTAAAATAATGTCTCTTGATATATAAAAATATATATCATTATTTTATATAATCCCGTCGACATGGAAAAAATTATTTAAAAAAAATCTTTCGAAATGTTGAAACTACCAGCATCTCTCGTTCATACGCATGTGTAGTCATAACAACGTCAACAAACAAAGTCCGATGAAGTCCAAACAGCTTGGCGACCAGGATCAGAGCAAAACTGTTATAACCGGTAATTGAGTTATCAAAAACAACAATAGAAAACCGGAATTAGTTTAACAAGTTTATTAACAGAACAGGGAAAGCTCCCCCTACTACTCCTCTTGATGTAGGTGTATTTTTATGTCTTTCGTCCGACAGCCGAGTTTGTAGGGAAATATTTCCCCCTCACAAGAATTAGGGACACGGAACCCATCAAAAAATTCACTTGTAGGTTCATCTTCACCAAATAGTGTTGCAGGCCAAACAGTGTGCCAAGCATCTGTCACTGTTGACTTCTCAGCATCTTTCCAAGCACTTGCAATCGCATACATGGCGTCCTTAACATTAAATTCCTTCAGGAATATTTCTGTTTTTTATCCTCTGTCAATTGCAGCAATCTTGCAGTTCATGAAATTGTCTTTGAACTTTATCATCATGGAAAGTAAAATTCTTTGGTCGCAAGGTTGTAATATGGATGTCACATTGGGACGAAAGTAAATGATGAAAACATTATTTTTCACGAGCAGTTCAGCAGGATCATTTGCAGAGCAGTTACCCAGGACGAATAAGACCTTACACTTTTCATCCAACCCAGCTTCCCTGCAATGATCTGTCAGTACGAAGTGGTTTTTGAACCATTTAGAAAATATTTCTCGGGTTACCTTGTTACCTTTCTTGTTTGCATTGTAATGAACAGGTAAGTTGCGCACACCTTTGAGACATCTTGGACGTTGATTTTTCCTTTTACCTTGAGTGAGCCTGTTGAATAAGCACACCCAAGAATAGCCAAATTATCGCTAGCATCCGTGAAGACTTTTGAGGCTTTATCATCTGCCGTTGTTAAAGTTCTTTTAGGCACGTACCGCCAGTATAACGCTGTTTCATCAGGATTGTAAACTTGCTCAGGATTAAGGTTTTCATCTGATTTTATCTTGGCAATTTTTTCTAAATAATTTTCAGCTGCATCGTAATTAGCTGAAAGATTTTCACCGCATATTTTTTGATATTTTATACCACGATGCTTCTTAAATTTCTACAGCCAACTTTCCGTGTACTGACGCTCACTTTTAATGTTTAGTTCATAAAATAGCAGCATTATGTATAAAAAAAAATAGCAATATTTGTATAAAAATAGCAGTATTTTGTATTAAAAATAACATTTTTTATTAAAAATAGCAGTATTTTGTATTAGAAAATAGCAACATTTTGTATAAAAATAGCAGCATTTTGTATTAAAAATAACGGCATTATAATTAAAAATAACGGCATTTTGTATTAAAAATAACAGTATTTGCTTGTTTCATGACCCTCAGTCCATTCAAAGGTATGCATTCACTTCTCTGTTGCCATATCCACTGTAGAAACTCTCGATCAAGCTCTTCATTATTTGCCTTATGCAATGCTTTCTTCTTTTCGTTTGTTTTTTGTCATCACTGTCACAGTAGAATTTAAGTAACTTATCTTTCTGTTTCTTTAAACCATACACAGTTTTAATTCCGACACCTTATTCTTCAATCAGACGACGCACAGACGTACCACGATCGATCTTCCATAGTAACTCAACATTCTGACTTATTGACAATGAAAAATGCTTCGTTCTATTACCCTCCTTTGACATTCTCACGGTAGAATTGAAAACAAAACCCCAAAATTGAAAACA